CTCATACGTTAAATTTGGCGAATTTTTATTTTGACCTACTTTTTGGACACGCCATAACTTCGGAACCGGAAGTCGGATCGAAATTTGGTTTGCAGATTCGGATTCCTGAGAAAATTCTATCCTTAATTCATAACTCATACGTTGAATTTTGAGAACTTTTTTTTTGACCTACTTTTCGGACACCATATCTCAAAAGTGGATCAAAATACTTTCTGACGGCAAAAGGCTAACACTATTAGCACACTCTTGGCTACATGTATACACAATTTCAAAGAATATTATTGAAGTGTAGTGTCAGAATCGCAAAAATAAGGAAAACCTTTGAATTTGACCTAGATTTTGACCTAGGCATGTTGGTGTCCAAATTTTGAAGCTAGATGGCTTTTTAGGTCCCCTTCTTTTAAAAGCTTTCATTAAATTAAGCTGAACTCAGTCTATATTTCCTATTCTTCACTTCAAAAAAATCTTTTTTCCCATTGACTTAACATGGGCACCAAATTTAGCGATTTTTGAACTTTTAAAACGACATAACTTCTGAACCGGAAGTCGGATCGAAATTTAGTTTGCAGATTCAGATTCCTGACAAAATTCTACCCCTAATTCATAACTCATACCCTGAATTTGGAGAACCTTTGTTTTGACCTACTTTCTGGACGCCATATTTCAAAATCGGTAAGAGTAATTAAAAAAAAACAGTGACACTTCTGAAAGGGCTTTTTTTAAGCTACATGTTGAAAAAAAGACGAAGACGTTTCGATAAATAACGACGAAGATAATTGATAGAATGTTGAAAATGTAAGATTTGACCTAGTTCTTGACCTTTGACCTAGATAAAAAATTGACCCAATTTCCGAGGAACTAGATACTGAACCTAAATTGACCAAATGATTGACTTTACTAGAGACCTTATGGTTATTGAGAAAACTTGCTTAGAATAATAATAATAATAATAAGAAAACTGACGAAAACAATAGACTCCAGATTTTCAATCTGGAGTCTAATAAGAATAAGAAAAGAGGCAAAAACAATAGACTCCAGATTTTCAATCTGGAGTCTAATAAGCAAAGTGAAAACAACAGGTAAAATGAAAACAACAGGCAAAAGGAAAACACTAGGCAAAATGAATCCAGCAGGCAAATTTTGAACAACAGGCAAAATAAAAAAATAGGCAAATTGAAAATAATAAGTATGAAAACAACAGGCAAATTGAAAACAACAAGCAAAATGAAAACTCTAACTTAAACATGAAAATACATGGAAACATGAAAGGTGCTTCTTGCCTACTGTTTATGAAATCCCCTTCTGTATGGTAAATGGCTTATGGATTATTAATTTGATTTTTCACAGTATTGTCTTCCATGTAATGTGTGGGAGTATAGATAGATTGTCTCTGTGTTGAGCAAATGAGTAAGATGATACAAGACAATATAAATTCAGGGTCCCTATTCAGAATGTTTAAGAAGTTTTTATTAGGACAATTTGGAAAAATGTTCTAATCAGTATTAATTGCCCTCTGTGAATAGATATGAATTTGATATACGCAAATTGTCCTTGAATTAAAGTATGGCCTATGGTACTACGCATGTCTACTGTTTTCAGTCCCAGCTCTATCTTGACAAAATGGGGCAAAAAATAGATTCCATACGAAATATTCCAAGATGGCATTTTGATCTCTATTGTATGGTCATTGTATCAGAGAAGGGGGGGGGACTGGGGGAGCGTATTGAGTAATAGGTAATAATTTCACAAATTCCTTAAGAAATCATTATCTGAAGAAATACACTGGTTTAACAGTATGGTTAGTCACATATTGGAAAATTTTGCGGATGCTTCAGAAACTACAATGGTTACCATGGTTACCCCATAGTGTTCCCAGGAAGCCCGAATTATGAATAGGAACTAACAAATTAATATGTCTTTAGATATTCTGTATACTCACTTTATATACAGGGGATAACAAAAATGGTCAAAAGATGTTGTCGTCAACCTACTACTTAAGAGAAACATTGTAAGGTTTAAGAAGGTCCCTGTGATCTGAAGGAGAAAAGTTAATTTCATTAAGAAAGTCATATAACCTTATGGGATATCTTGAACTATTCGTCCACAAAATAATAATGAAATCATGATGTTATATTTAGTCTTAATCTGCCATTAGGGAAATTCTGTGTTGACCCTACTAAAAATGCAAGTGATGATTTATTGATTCAAGTCATCAATTATGACTCTCAATGTTTAAAACAGTCTACCCAAGATTAAGCAAGAAACCTTTTACCCTGTAATTACTTGAGGTGTGAGGTTCCATATCCATCCGCCAAAAGCTATGACCCCTATATAGTCCATTTAAAAACTTGTGGTTTTGTTCTAAATAATGCCATAGTTGGCTTCTAGGGTACCTAGTATGCCACTATTTGGTATCAAAATAAAGAGGAGGAGTTCACCTTTCATTTTAATTATGAAAATAACAATGTAGGTCAAAATAGTTCTAACATGAGCATGTTTACTACGCATGTGCCCGTCATCTCAGAATTGATAAATGGTAGCAAAAACGAGTTGCAATAAATGAATGCTGATATCTCAAAAAGTAACCTGACTAACTATAATTTGATGTAGATCAATCGAAACCCCTATATGAACAGGTACATTTTGATATATAACACTATCGGGGGTAAGCGTTTCATAGTTGGTCACAAACGCCATATGTCCAATGTAGTGCTCAGAATTTTCGAATTTCGTGTTGGATTACGGTACTCACACCTTGATGTTTTCACCTTATGAATTAATATAGGTGGATACATTCCTTGTCACATATACAATGGAACCAACATATTTAGCAATTGAGAATGACCATCTTATCCCATTATTAATCGATACATCGCTAATCGTTGCTAAAACAGCCCTGACAATGAAAATGTCAGGGCTGTTTTGTGAAATGTGAAAGAAGAAACTGATGTGTTTGAGAAAATCATATTCAATTTTGAATCGTAAATCAAAATAAAAAAAGACCCCTAAAAATATATTATCAATGTCTAATTAGTAATTATGGCATATTGCAACAAAAGTATAACTAGGAGTTGGTAAATAGAGTAATTTAAAAAAAATATTTTCATGAAACTAAACAACATGTACAATGTCCATATTTCACCATCTTTTTTTTGCAGTTCAAGTCACATTTGTAAAATGTTACAAAATATTTCATTATAGCTAATTCATAACACTATCCTGAATTATTAGGGGATTATTTTTTATCTGCTTATTGCAATAAAATCAATTTACAGAACCAGATTTACAAAGACATACAGCAGATGTTGGAATGAAAAATATGCAACACAGATGTTGAAAAAACCTATTTTCATTATTGAAGATTCTGCAAAAAGAACAGACTTCCATGACCATTTTAACTCTATAGCAGATTTTGTATTTTTTTGATTTTGACATTTATGATGCTTCAGCTGCTATATACTGAATATGCTCTCACTTAAAGTGGCAATATAGGTATGCTGCACTGCTAAAACAGCCATGACAATGAAAATGTCAGGGCTGTTTTGTGAAATGTGAAAGAAGAAACTGATATATTTGAGAAATTCATATTCAATTTTGAATCGTAAATCAAAATAAAAAAAGACCCCAAAAAATATATTATCAATGTCTAATTAGTAATTATGGCATATTGCAACAAAAATATAACTATGAGTTGGTAAATAAAGAGAAAATGCAAAAGGTGGGAAGCAGTCTTCAAACATTGTGTCAATGTTTCCCTTTATTGTAATATTCAAAATTGTGTATTATTCTAAAAATATACAAGGCATTGACATTCAAAATGAACTGAACACCATCCACTGAACACCATCCACAAAAAAATTGGAGACAATACAACAATATGTCACTGTTTCTGGTGAAAGAGATACTTTCAATGGAAGGGAGGTTTCAAGGTAATATACATTTATCTACAAAATCCATGCTTTGTGTAGTAAATGTCACGCAATGTAGACATTCTTACATTGACATATTATATTCTCCAACTAATTAAATTAAAGAACGGAAATGAGGTTAAAACATATCAAGTCTGCATTTCACTTTTGACATCTTGTATCTCTAGTCTCTGTAGTAACACAATAAATGAATAAAATTGTTTCCTGGAATTAAATGTTATAATGGGAAGCCTTACAAGGTTAAAACCTTCACAATCTCAGTAAATGTAAATGCTATTGACAAGGAAATATCAAGGTTGTCCATGAAGTACTTTTCAGTCAAATTCAGTGTCATCAAGTACTTTTCAGTGTCATCAATTACTTTTCAGTGTCATCAAGTACTTTTCAGTGTCATCAAATACTTTTCAGTGTCATCAAATACTTTTCAGTTATGAGAGGTTTTAAAGATTCAGACAGAATATTCAAGGCAATCTAGATCTTATGAGTTTGTTTGACTGCAAAGAAACTGAACTAACTAACTGAAAGAATGGATTTCTAGGTGATCCCAGCAACATAAGGTATAACTTCTCAAGGTACTAGTATCAAGACACCATAATTGAAAGTTGAAAATTCAAAACTTCAAAATTCTAGCTCAGGATTGAAGCCATGATCATTAGCCAAAGTAAAAAATTAATTTTGAAGGCACAGTTTTAGTTGGAAAAAAAACATTTGAAAATATATTTCTGTTAACGTTTGGTAAGGCAACTGATGCCTGGCTATTCCCATAAATTTTATTTATAATTTGGGATATAAAATATTATTTGGGATACAAAAATATTCTTTAACATTATCCAACTTATCAATTACAAATATGCTATTATGTACCATGTTCTGGTATATGCCCAAAAGCAACTGAGATTTTAATTGCCAGCACATACAGGTATTTGCAGATCTTTACCATACCAATCAAATCTGTGTGCATGTTAAAAAAATTACATTCAACATTATCTGGTAAAATATGGAAATCCACATATCTATTCAAGAATTGAACAAGTCAAGTTTTTATGATTTTTGTCAAAAAGTAAAACTTACCTCTAAAGTTTACTTTGGCAATTCTGTCCGCTTTCCCTCGGAGATTCTCTGCATATTTGAGATGCAGAACCAAAGCCATTTTAGTAGATTACTTCCATCTCACATATGTCCAGATCTTGTTAATCCTGTATTTTTTCCTACTTCATACATGAACATTAATGCAAACACCTCAATTATTCATGCTGCAACGGATAGCATACAATGAGAGTTGTATTCTGTCACAATACCATCGCTGTTCTATCAGGCAAGCATACCCAGCTTTGAATCAGGCAATTATTGATTCAGACTGGTTACCATGGTTAGGTGTTCATATACAATATAGGGTACATCTCTTTTGGGACCATAGAATACATAAGTGAAACATATTACCCAATTGTTGTCATAGTAACAAATCACCTTTGATACACATTTCAAGGGATTAAGAAAATGTGATCTCTTGCAATGTTCAATGCTTTATACATTTACCTATATTTCTCCAAGGTGATAGACATTCATTATTTCATTTAGATCTTTATCTAATTTTGACAAAATATGTGTTCCCGCGGTGTTTTAGAATTGAGAATCAGTAAAATCTTTTCATGAACACTTCAATTCTGACCAAAACAAAAAATTTCAGTTTGGCAAAATTACTACTTAAACAGTTATTTTTTCTCAAAAAATTGTAATTGATGGAATTGAGTGTAATAAATTTTTACCTTTTGTATCAAAAGTCTTTTCTTTGAAAAAACGTTATTAACTTTAGTAAATGACAAGTGAACTTCATGAAACTTTTTACACATAATCAAAGGTATGTCATACACATTCTGTGAAAATCTGAAGACAATTGATTAATTTTTACTCAAAATATAACATATAGAACATAGTATATACCTAAAACACCTATGTGACTTTACAAGTTTGTGATGTCAAACTTACTTAGATCACCAAAATCAGGCTGCTCTGTAAAATTATGCAGATGGAAGTCTTTCTATACAAAATGCTAATTATAAACAGAATGTGTTGTTACATATTCTCTCAATGTCCTCATACATTTTACTAACAGCCCTAGAACAGGTTATACTACTCTTAACCCTTTCCTGCCCAAAATTGATTTGAGGAATTCAGAAATATGTCATCACAATAACCACTGCTATCATTAATATATCATGTCATTGCATTATGATTCAGAAATATTGCAATATAAAATGGAAATAGGATAGATTCATTTGAAATTCAAATACCAAAATTACATGTACATCAAGAATATCTAGGAGATAAACCAGTGAGACAATAAAATTAACACATTAGTCACAAAATTATTAAGGAAATATAGCATAACACTGAACAGTAATGCAACAGTGTTTTAAGACCCAAGTGTAAGGACTTTTGCATTGTTATTATACAACTTTCAGTGACACCGTCCTTTATTTTATGAAATACATGCATGAACAGGATTAATTAAATCAATCCTCTTCAAATTTTCGGATAATGTATATAATATGCATTAAAATATATGTGACAAGTTTCATGAAGTTTACTTGTCATTTACTAAAGTTATTTGAAATTTCCCTTAATAGGAAGACTTTTGATATTACAGAGGGTATTCATTTATAGATATTATATATTTTCATTCTTCAACTGCTTCTCTTAGTGACTCTGGAAAAAACTGAAAAATATATTATCTAAAACTTGGATGACTGATAGAAAGCTAAAAGTATGTAATAACATAACTTACTGTACATTGTTTAATTAAAAATAACGTTCGTATCAATATTTGGACTTCTTAATACTGTAGAACAAATATTTAGATTGCACTTGTAAATCTATGATGACTCTTAAAGGAGTGGTATATTTTATTAGATATTGATCAAGTGAATTCTCGGCACTAAATAATCATCTTTAATTAACTGTAAAAGATGGCAGCACCAGCTAAAGAGTACCAAGTGTTTAAGAACACAGGAGAAAAGAATGGTGATCAGGAAGACACTGATCATTATTAACTTGTATTACTAATTGAAATTCAAAATTACCACCATGTGATCACAATGCCTAGCAAGTTCTGAACTTAATGACATACTTTCAGTAGTCTGATCTTGCATCTACATTATTTCAAGTTTAAAAGGATATTCAGCATTTTCTTGCAGTGTTGATAATCTCTTGATAATATGATTTACGATGGCATCCACCCATCCATCATCTATGAGCACAATAACAAGACAATTTCTATAAGATACATTTTAAATTTCCTGTTTCACAAAAATGAACATCATCTATGTTTAGTTCCATCACTTATAACACTTTCAATCCAAAGTCTATTAAAATGTATCATTTTTTAGAAAAGTAGGCATTGAACTCTTCTATTGGATCCGATTTTAGTACCTATTATTACATATTTCTATTTTGCATTTTCTATTTCTATTCTATGTTTGAAAAAGATGCACAAAACAACTGCCACTTTATGAAATATTTTGCCAGAAATATGCCATAGTACCTTAGTAGGTACAATGTACATGTAAAGCTTTCATCAGTTGTTATACTCTGATACTCTGAGTTAGTGAAAATCGGAGCATATATGACCAAGGCATAAGCTCATGAAAAATTTTAACTAAATAACAGCAATGCCAAAACATAGCAAATCCCATCGAACAGGCAATAGAGAAGCGGCTTTTTAAATGACGTAATTAGCTGCATAGTTAAAAGCCAATGAGAATTTGGGCAATTCCGATGTTTTCAACATGATCATTGATGTCTTCTGGTAGAATGTTTAGTCCCCATCGATCTGATCACTTGATAGCTTTAACAAAGATGAGAGAAAGGGTGGTTTTACTATATTGGTTTGTATCTGTTCAACAAAAGTATGATCATTCAGCTGCAAGTATGACATTTTTTTATGGAATGGACAAGCAATTTGTTGACTTTGATGGCTATAAATCCATTGTACTAGATTTCGAAGCTCTATATTGTAATTTGTGAAATGACGTAATTTATGATCCCTAGGGCAAAACATATTGGCTTTTTTCTAATGGGTTAGCTCCCCTCATTTTATTCATCCATATCAAATTATGACAAGGATATGAATACTAATAGAACCCAGAAGAGACTTTCAGAGAGGGAGGGCGAGAACAGGCTGAACAAGACACACAGTGATAAATATCGCACTTTGAAGAGCAAACTGGCCACCATGCAATTTACCCAGCATGACCAAAACCTAATCAGACCTTGGCACTAGTCTGCTCTTGCATCTGTAAACATTTCAAGTTGACAAGGTTAGCGGTTTTCCTGCAATTTTGATGACAAGAATTTATTTGTAGTCTTGAACTTTGGGAAAATTTAGATAGCATTGTTTGTGACCTAATTTGATGACCTTCGACCTTGAAAATGTCACTTTTTCAGACCTCAGTAGGTGTTTTGTAATTAAGCTGACCTAAATTTAAATCCAAAATATCAATTTAGAAAATCAACTTTTTTGAACTTTTCAAGGTCACTGAAGGTGAACAAAAGGTCAAATCTGAAATCTAAGGTCAGATTTGAAATTCTGAGAACTTGTAAATGTTTTTTAAAAAAAAATTTGGTCAATTTGGAGCAAGTTGAAAAATTCAAAATGGCCGCCAAATTGAAAAATTCAAAATGGCCACCATGTAATTCAGCCAGCATACCCAAAACCTAATCAGATCTTGGCAATAGTCTGCTCTTGCATCTGTAAAAATTTCAAGTTGAACGGATCGGATAAGTGGTTTTCCTGGAATTTTGATGACAAGATTTGTTGAAAAATTCAAAATGGCCGCCACGTAGTTTACCCAGCATGCCCTTAACCTAATCAGATCTTGGTACTAGTCTGCTCTTGCATCTGTAAAAATTTCAAGTTGAACAGGTAAGCAGTTATCCTGGAAATTTGATGACAAGATTTGGTTCATGTGCCGCCCGCCTGCCAAACAGCACAAGACGACGACAATATAGCACTTTTTCAAAGTGCGATAAAAAGCCAATAAGACTTCAAGGCTGTTATTACTAGAATTCCTCTCTTTGATGATTATTCTCGGTAATCTCACCCCTAAAACTGTACCCAAGCAAATGAGTGTATTTTTTTATCTGTTATCAACATGTTCAAAGAATTTATCAATCATTTGCAAATCATGAGTTTCCCAAAGTGTATACTGGATGAAAAAAAAATCCAGACAATAATCCCCATTCCTTGACACATGCAAACCAAATTCCTCATTCCTAGAACAAATGTCTCTTTAGAATTCCTAGTCCCTGGGGCAATATTGTGTGTAAAACTCTTCACCCTACCGCAACCGCATGGGGGATCTCTGGCAAACTACTGAATGGTACAATACAGACGATTTTCTCCGGTTGTTTTTACAAAACCGCCTGTTGTTTTTAGGGACTTTTCAACTTCACCATGTTACATTTATGGTTTCCATTAATTTTGCCTGTTGTTTTCATTTATTTTGGCTGTTGAGAGAAATTCTAGTAAAACCCCTGATAGTACTATGAACACTATTTCAATGATGTAAAATCGTATGATGGGTTAAGTGTAATACAGGATCATTTCCCAAGAAAATCTGTAATTGACAAGATCCTGCTGAGGTAACTCATTATTCCACAGGAAACAAGTTTATTAGATCTCGAATTCATTATGTAGGGGTTAGGGGACAAAAATTACCTTCATTTTGAGCCATCAAACTTTGAAGGTTTCCCAATAACCCTAATTAACCTGGGACAATTCAATAGCATTATGCCGCGTTCCATTATTAATTCATCATAATACGTATCATTAATCTATAATCAAACAAACTATCATTTTTTCATCTTTACTTTCTCTATATTGTATAGTTTATGTAATGGTGTAACTTTACAAAGAAAGTACAATAGTCTATGCAATGGAACCTGCATTAGAAGCAATACGGGGCCACAAGTCAGCACATTCCTTGGCAACAGGTCCTGTGATAGCCGAACCTGGAAAAGAAATGAGTGATTTTAGACTAAACAGTGAACATTTTAACATCTGTATAGCTAACATGCTTTTCTTGCATCAAGTCCCAATGTATCTCACCTTTTATATCTCGAACACAAATTGGTTCGAGAATCAAATATATAATAGTGAGAAGACCAGAGATATGAGCATGATGATGGAAGACTTAACTATTTATCATAATTTTGATAAACATCATTAGAAATTCAAGGGATTGATTGCAATTAAAAAAATAAAAAAATAAAAAATTTAGAACACTGCTCATAATTTTTAAGATTATCTGATTAGCAGCCAAAATCAAACGAAGACAAGATGTAAGATGTAGACTGCAGTAAACATTTCAAATCAGTTTATGCTTGAGCCTGCTTGCCACACTTTGATATCTCAGAAAGAACATGCAATAAGTTCTAATTCTAACTAAGAAAATAACCTTAGCTATTTTTGTGAGAAATGAAATTTTTGAGCAAGGAATTCAAACATTCTGGTATGAACATTTCATAATATAATATCATATTTACAGTGTTTTGAAAGACAAGAAACAGAAAGTTAGTTTATAATATAACTACATGCTTGACACAAAAATATATATTGTCTTAATCTCTTGAATCCCAGGCTCTAAAATTGGTTGAAACCAGAGAATTTTTGTGTAAATTGGATGAAAATTGTTCAAATAAGAGCAATTTTAGTGAAAAATTTTGTGACCTATTTTCTTCTCACTCTGGGTTTCTCAGTCATTTCTGAGGTGACGAGAAACATTTTCACTCCAGATATTCAAGAGGTTAAAATGCACTAACAATATAAAACAACTTACCTTTCATTTCACCTTTATTATTTACAATTACTCCCGCATTATCTTCAAAATATATAAACGATCCATCTTTCCGCCGAATAGCTTTTCTTTGTCTAACAACTACAGCAGGCATAACTGAAATGAAAACATTAGGACATTAGGTAAAACGACCAGGAAGCACACATGTGGCATGGTATTTATGTGTAATTTGAGCATCAAAATCTTTAAGGATTTTCTCTCAATTTTTTAGTTTATCATTTATATAACCAAGCTCACTGTGGTGCTGCAAATAGAAACACCAAACATGTTGGAATGGGAATTTGAATCCTCGGAAAATGTGGCAGGAAATAGGGAAAGAATAGCAAGGGAAAGGTCTTTGAATATTTTTTCTGAAATTTCTCCGAAACCTCCTTTAAATATAGCTCAAAATCGAAATTTACATAAGAATAGCAACAACAAATTAAAACATGGAACATGAATGAACATAAACAACCAACAAGATAAAATTCACAAATAACTTACTTTTTTTACGAAGTTCAGGCTTTCCTTTCTTCACTGTAGCCATGACCATGTCACCCTGTCCTGCAGCTGGGAGTCTGTTCAAACGTCCCTTGATTCCATGCACAGCGATGATGTACAGGTTCTTAGCTCCTGAAATCAGATAAGAAGTGAACAGTGAACATAATACTGGTAGTATCATTGTTAGTGATCTTCCCAGGTGGAGGATTAAGTATTCAGTAAGAAATCACCATGGGGAATCAGTAGCTTTGACATAATGCTAAACACTAGATTCCAAAGCCCATTTCACTTTTCTCGGTATGTAGTTCAAGGCTAAATAATTTTAATTTGACAAGGAATGTGACTGTCACCTACCAGTATTCAGTATACACTGAGATTTCTCCATATTAGCTTTGTTTTGTTAACCATGATACATTTATGATAACATATTTATATTTTATTTATATTTATTCTTCAAGTACATTCACACCCCTTGGGGTCAAGTACATGTACTAACAAAAAATTATAACAATTATAAAGGAAGGAAAAAGAAGACATTTACATGTAAAAAAACTACTTAACTATCAGTATTACTATTATATTGGTACTGGATGTAAATATATATTTTGCTACATTTATACAGTTTTGATCTTTACCAGACATCAAATAAATAAATAGATTTTTTCTTGTACTGGCATTTTCATTTTAGACAACATTATACTTCTTTGTTTATTATATTTCGTACAGTAAAGGAGATAGTGTTCATTTCCTATAATATTGCAGGTTTCGCATTTTCTCTCTTTCCGAGGTGTCGGTCTTGGTCTTGTGTAGCGACCAATTTCAATTTGAAGATTATGTGCACTTATTCCGAGTTTAGTTAACTCTCTACGCAGGTCAAAGCGTTTTATAACATCTAAAGTTACTTTTGAATGGGTTATTAGTTCTTAATTTGTTATTGCACTTTCGTTTTTGTGTATCATTAGAGATTTTATTCTTCCAGAATTCATGAAATCGGCTCCTTAGACTTTGCTTGCATTCAGATAATACTTCTGGTGTTAGTATCTAGTATTTCATCAGTATTCATTAATATTTTAATCAACATATCAATAAATGTTACTAATGTCAGGCAATAACGACATTTCGTCCATTTTAAGAATATCGCCATTTTTCTTGGAGCCGTTTATTTTAATTTTAGACGAAATCCTGATGAAATCATGCAATACCTCATCAAGGAGCCCAGCCATCAGAAAGCATTATACTATGCATCGTAAGCAAAATTGCCAGCATAGTATTCAAAAGACATGAGTGTTGAATCTGAACACAAATTCTCGGTATAAGTTCATATGGTGAAAATAACGAAATAATGAAATGTTACCGTGTGTCTACTTAGCAGTTTGTTCTATGTCATCCCTCCTGCAAGGTTACATTGTGGAACTCAGCAAAACACGACACTGAAGGCAGTATTCTGAGGTTATAAAATCTAAATCGTAAAAATTTTCCTATTTGCAGCCCCTTGGAGATTTCCTGAATTGAACAAAGTAGCGAACGTTGCGATCTTTCAACTTTCAACTCCCATTTCTTCCCTTCTTGGAGACTTCAGGAGTTGAACAAAGTAGGCGGTTTTATTTGAATGCATCATTTCAGGTCTTTAGGAATCAATAGATCAATAAGCAGACTTAAAATACAATTTAGCAGCTTCTTTCATTGCGTACTGGGCCTGTTAGGCACGAAATACAATTTAGCAGTTTCGTTCGTTGCGTAATTGGGCCTACTATAATCAGTAGCAAATGCTCGGCAAACATTTTCCAAAATATTTACTTCTGTTTTCCTTGAAGACATGGTTGGGTGACACGTCATTAAGTCACATGATCGATACAGTAACTAGTCACGTGATCAGACACGTATCACGTGTCAGTCACGTGAGCTTGCAAAATGGACGATCTAAATTTCCAAAAATTCTGCTAAGATCAACATCAACATGTTGTTGCCTTCATTGTCCTGTTTGGCAGCATTCCACAATGTAACCTAGCAGGATGGACGACATAGAACAAACTGCTAAGTAGACACACGGTAACATTTCATTAATTCGTTATTTTCACCATATGAACTTCTACCGAGAATTTGTGTTCAGATTCTAATGATTCCCGTTGCCACCAACGTGAAATTGCAAATCTCTCATTCTAAACACGCGCACTATATATATTACTGTATTGATTCATTGGCTTTGCATTCACGGTTACGTTGTGCTAGTCATATAAATCTGACCCTCGTATGATGTTATTTGTTGTTATTTTTTTCTGATTTGGATATTTATTTTTCTTATTTTCTTGCATACTAGGGTCATAAACACTAGCGCTTCTATATTGCGGGAATTGCTTTCCTGGCATGTCTACCCGACCAAATTCACACAAATGATAAATAATTTCTTTGCTTCAACTATAAAGTATTTAATCTTACCTTAGGCACGTAAAACTCTTGGTAATTGAAGAAATATAAGCACGCTGCTAAATTTTAAAATTTTCTCATTTTGCCTACCAAGGTCACTTCCGGGTTAATCTGATAGTCTAGATGTAAAACTATATCAAACGAAATCATAAGTTTTTGTTACACGAATATTCAGTTGAAAGGGAAGCAGTGTCGTTGAGCAGGGAAGTTATTTGGAAAAGTTATTGTTTCAAAATGAGAAAAGTAATAAGTGGCAGAGAACTGCTTTGGAATCGATCTCTGTGTAATAAATAATTATGATTCCGTTTCGATACATATTATATATTTAGACTACCGGAAACAACATTCAGCAACATGGCGGGCGATAATGAAAATATAATTCAATTGATTATATTTCGTCAATTATCAAGCGTTTTACATGTCTAAGGTAAGATTTAAAGATCTAATAGCAAAGGTTTTGCAAAAATGAATCAATGTAGTATAAAACAAATGTATGTATAATGAAGAAATAAATATATAATGAAAAAAATAGATATGTGCTTGTAATATCGGTATTAACTTATGATTAAAAAGTGTCACTATCTCTTTCATTTTTCAACAAATATAGGCTCACGTGACATGTGACGCGGGGCAGGCAATTTTGATCTATCGTAGACCATATCAGTATCAAATTGCCGATATTTCAACCTCGTCTTGCGAGGCCATTTTGATTTGAAACATCTTGAATTTGGTGTCAAAATAAAGCTGGTCACGCCCACTTTCATAGTTATCAATGAATCATTTACTATGACTACTTTATTCATTTAGGAGGCGTGTAAAGTTAACCAATCAGAAAGACAATTGTTCGATATATGGCAGTTCATTAACATATTCAGTGTTTACTACTGCTTTTCGCGTCATGACAACATGAGGGAACGTGAGTAGTAACCAATCAAGATGCCGTATTTTATCACGTGAGTTCAGAGTGACAAGTACACGACATGTAGTCTGAGCTGATCGCGATGTTGAACAATTTCTTCTCGGAATTTGTCCAGAGAAATCAGCGATTCTAAATTAAGGTAGGATCTGCCATTTCTTCCTGTAAAAGTTATAACATATCTCTAATGAATACTAAAGTTTTGGATGAAGATATGAAGCATACGTTTAAAAACGAAGCGATTAATTTGACGATCTGATTTTGCAATTTGCAATGGCCAATTTACCGCAAGTCTGCGTGTATTTGACAAGAGATAGCCAAGTCTTCAGGTCTTGTATCTAAATGCTTGTTAAGCCTTACTCAAAAACAAGATCCATATTTTCTAAAGTTGATAACTTTGCAGAAAACCTGTTTTCATAACCTGTTTTCCACGTCAAAAATTCAAACTGAGTAATCTGGTAATAGGATCGCTGGATCAGTCTCCTCGGGTCTTCATTCCAAAACTCAGATTTTTAGTTGATTCTCCGACCGTCATAGTACTTGTCTAAAGTCCCCATTTCTGCTCTCTTACTGGTATACTTGGACACATTTTCCTCTGTATAGTCCCCAGTCAAATAACACCCTCTCGCCGATTTATAATAGCCATTTCCCAGAACCCGGGAATCAGAATCGCTGATGTTTGCCATATTGAACATGTTGAAATATGTACTGTAATATCTGTATTACCTGCTACGCGTAATGGTCACGTGACTAGCGCGTTACAGGAAAAATGGGGAATTTCGAAACAACAATTTTTGGGCACTTTTATTGCAAATTTCAGGTATAAGTGTATAAGTGTTTGTGGTATAAAATATCATCCCCAGACATAAATGAACATCCAAACTACATATTTTATTAAGTTTTGGAGCCTTTTTTACTCTTAAATCAACATCTTTAACACTTTGATATTGGTGCTAAATTATTACGTGATAATTTGTGTGATTTTGGCTAGTATGGTAACTATGGTTACCAAGACAGGCCAGAAAAGTGTTTACCGCAATTTGTTCCATATAATATCTACGACCGTGTATGCAAAGAAAATGATAAAAAATAAATATCCAAATAAGAACAAGGAATATCGAAGAAAAGCATACAACGGTCGGATTTATATGACTAAAGCTTTTTGCAAGGCCTGAGTGCGCCGCTAACATGCTAAATAGAAGAGTTAGCTGACGTTTGGGAGTCTGACTTACCTTCTAAAGGTTAGAACCCGAATTTTAATGAAACCATATCACCTTTGTTGCGTCGATGATGATGCATAAACATAGCATTTGATAGAAATTAGTGTAAATACTTTTCCGACTTTTTCATTTTTCATCAATGTTGACTTCCGGGAAGGCGTTGTAGTTATCACGAAATAACGCATTGACCCTTGAACTTTACTTTGTTGACGTGTCAACCAAGCATGTCTGGTGTGAAAATTAAAAGAATATTAAGCAATGTTCTACATCCGCCAAGCTAAGTGAAGTAGTCAATATTTAAAATTACCAATTTCAAGTGAAGTACGCAACGAACGAAACTGCGTGATTTACACTCCCACTATTGGTCTGAATGAAATGCTACGTAGAAATATGAGCCGTCTGCTGTATTAGTCGATTAATAGAGTAAGACCTGTTGGTGATGCTTTATAATTTAGACCAAAACATTGAAGAACAAACGAACCTGTAAATCGTGAAAACAACGAACAAATATTCGGTTTTCACATATGTTCGGTAATTTTTCGTATTGAAACTTCCGGAACTTACAAGGAAATCATTCATTTTCTCGATCCATGATTTACCTCTTGGATGTTGTGGCAAATGCTCCATGGTTGACGGAACAAAGGTGATATGGTTTCATTAAGATTCGGGTTCTAACCTTTAGAAGGTAAGTCAGACTCCCAAACGTCAGCTAACTCTTCTATTTAGCATGTTAGCGGCGCACTCAGGCCTTGCAAAAAGCTTTACGTTGTGCAGACTGATTTCGGTCGAATGGCACGGCTCTAATTTGAACCTCCTCAATTTAACATGCATCTCAATGGTACAAAAAGTAAGGAGAGTTCTACTCAAGACTCCACCATAAAGTTGCCAAAAACACTGGTCATGGAACACATTCTAGACTATCCAAAAATTGAAAAGTACCAACTGTAACTTCAATCAATGTGAACAAACCTGTATTGTCAGCACAGTTGATCACTGCGCCTACTGGCAACGCAAGAGAGATACGGAACTTTCCTCCGGAGGTACCACCACGTCCTGAAAAAATATTAAAAATAAATGAAATTTTCCGAAATTTTCTGGATGGAGCTTACACTCGAGTGGTATGTTTCAGTATACAGCACATCCTGATTCTTATCAAGTATAGTGGCATTAAGGGAAAATACTTTAAGAATATATATTGTTGTAATATAAAGTATAAAATTATATGAGTTTGACAGATCGTCAAGGATATTGCAAAGAGTGTGAAATGTACCTCTCTTCGACATCTTGGATTTTGTAAAAGGAAGCTCTACGGCGCATGCGCGGTATAGAAATGAAAGTGAAACTGACTTACATTTTCCTTGTTAACTCTCATATCTATTATCTGATATAGTGGTAGTAGTATTTATTAATGCCATTCTTATTTAAACCTGCATTCTGGTGTAAGAATTAAGTATTTTAAACTTTATTTATTAAAACATCATACAAAATGTATCATTTGGAAAACATTTAATAGATTTGAGCCTGGTCCCTGGAGCCTGGTGAAAACGAAATCAATTTTTAATTTTTATTTTTTAAGGTAGTACCCTGCGTGCAGAGTCTAGTTAAACTACAGTTAAAGGAGCATGAAAATGTGTACTTCTTGCATTGTTAGAGTATAATAAATCTCAAACCATTTTGAATTCTAAATATTTCATGTCCACCATTTTGTTTGCTGGGACTATTTTCTAGTCCAAAGTAATCCTTACTCAGTCGTGTATGCATTGTTTATCATTATTTGATTTATAAAGCCTCAATCATGTAGATATCATGATTATTATACTGTTATAGATAAAATATACTAGTGATAATCCATGCCAAAACTTGTATGAGGATTAATCAGGAAGTCTAGAAGTAGTTCCGGCAAACAAAATGGTGGACATGAAATATTTATAAGAAACTATGGTTTGAGCTTATCATACTCTAACAATGCAAGAGGTGCATATTTTCATGCTCCTTCGATGTTCCTTGGTAAGGTAAGATGGTTTGTGGAAATTTGGGATTCTTGCAAATGTGTGACTGTGGCAAGGCTACTCCTTGGAACTTTCAATAATTTGCCTCATTTCACCGTCTTCATGCTAGCTTTGGGGACCCACCCATGCACCTCAAATTCATAGTTATGATAAACGCGTTTAGATGTGAAGTTTTCTTGAACATATCTCTCTTTAGTCAGGAAATGCATTCACATATAAGGAAAACCGATACAAAACTTTGTGACTTTACCAAAAAATATTTTTTGTACTTCTGATTAACTTTAACGTTACCTTAAACTTTGTGAATGATTGATCCGAATTTAGTCATACGTCAATACTATTACCAAAGTTTTATTTGTTTTATTTATGCATCCTCATTCATATCATCACTAATTTCCTCATGGAATCAACACGAGTACAGGAATGTATTTTAGTATTTTTCGTTCCAGCAGATCATTCCTCCATGTAACGCTACCGAGCACTTAGGCACCCATTTTTACCACCGGTCAAATTTACAGCATTTGAACGTAATATACAGGGCGGTTAAGGGCAAATACACCTAATGAAGTAGTTCTGGATATAACTCAAATATAGTGGATTGATGATAACATAGAAATTTACAATTAAATTGGATTTATACTTAAAATTTAAAGATGAACAAACCTTGTGCAAAGTGTAATAAAACGGTTTATCCAACAGAAAAAGTCAACTGTTTAGACAAGGTCAGTATAAGAAGATTATTATACATTATCAAATAAGTATGCTGATAAACGCATGGATAGCATAATTATTTGTTTATGGAAGTTGGTATTTAGATCACATTTGGACACATTTGACGACTCCCAGTTTATAGTCATGGCTTACTCCCGTCGAGAGCTACTTAGATTTTGAAAGTATAGTCTAGCTCTCTATCGCTAGAATCAACAGCTTAAGAATCCTGACTTCGAAGAAAATTTCAGGGAATTCAGCTGACTCATGTTGCACATTATATACCTGAAAATGTATCCTACATCGCCATCTTTCATTCAGCTCAACTATAGAACGTCTCACTGCCCTATGTATCGATCAGGACTTCATTTTATTGGTCGTGTCAAAAGTTTTGGCCAGGTATATTCAATATGGCGGCTTGACGTTTCCCAAGTTGCGCATGCGTCGATAGTATTTCCGTTTAACCGCCATATTGGAAATGGGTATCGAACAAAAAACGATTAGAACTCCTGATCGCCATAGAAGCACATCCGCGATCCTACATGCACGGGGAAAGTAGACACATATGAGCCCATATGTAGGCTACAGTTTGAGACAAACAGCAAGCCCCTGACTGGCGCTGATCAAAATTAGATGTCACAATCCTTCAGCTGGGAGATCCTCACGATGGAGAGCTATACTTTCAAAATCTAACATGGTAGCTCTCGACGTGAGTAAGTCATGGCCAGAGAAAGTAATAACCTCCCGTTGCACTAGAAGCCCCTAAGACTTCATGACAAGATGAACTTCTGTTTTATCGGACAGTCATTTCCATAACAGCATCTCATCATCACTGATTGTTCGAAAGACATTTCGACATCAGCCCTTAGCGTAGAATTTGATTCTGTGTTTTCAAACATCGCTAACAGAATGGACACAATGAAACAGTATTGGGGAGAAAACCAAAGTCGACACAATTTTGAAAAATTGAGCTTGAAGTTGATAAAAATGTGCCTTTTGATGTCTTAATTTCTTATTCCATTTCACTACCATTTACTGTACCGCTTCAGATAACTGCCATAATATTAAAGACCTTCCCCATATAAATTTTTGGGAGATGGTAAACTGAACCTCCCTTTAAAAAACATAGGCATGATGACTGAACATTTGTTTACTTTCCCAATTGGTAAAAATACAGTTACAGTATAATATAGTTCAGAATTATTATTAACTAATTTCAAGTAATTATTTTCAGATATGGCACAAAGCGTGCTTCAAATGCGATGTCTGTGGACTTACTCTAAACATGAAGAACTACAAAGGATACAAAAAGATTCCTTATTGTTCAGCGTAAGTACACATACTAGTAAGCTTAATATCTTGAAAGCATAACATTTTTCACAAGCAAATTATGGATCTTCATGGACAGACTGGTCTTACTTGAATATAGAATGGTTGAAAAAATCCATGGTCATTGTATGATGAAAATTTACCTTATAAACTGGTCAATGATCAATCTTGTCATCTCATTTCTTCTCAGCTATGAGATGTTTCTAGTGAAATAGAAAGGTGCAATAAGCATCAGAACAATCGGAAGGTACTATACTACTAGTCTTACTGGATGAGGACATTTTGACTAGTAAATTTTAAAATGACCTGAGGAAAGGCCTCAGCATTTATTGTTTTACCATCACAATTAACCTACATAGAGACTCGAGAGTACTAATTTAATATAAATTATTTTGTTGTTAACATACTGTGAAAATATTGAAGAGATTGAGGATAATTCAATAAAATATAGGACACTTTTAAGTTCATACACTTTAAGTCTAATCAGTTCACTTAAATATTATTGAGAAAAACTTGCCAGTAGATATGCATATATCAGTTCTTCAAATGTAAGTTTAAGGTGTCTCTTATTTTCACCCCTTTTATGGTGCAGATTCCCACTTTTAGTATTGTCGCTAACTTTACAGTGTAGTAAAAGTCTGTTAAGTGTTCACTATGTAAGTAAAGTATCCCATAAGTTGCACACACAAACTACTGTTACCCAATGCAATTAGTGGATTCAGTGTAGAACACCTACTAAGTACAACACTACGTTGAGGTTAGGACATACAAATGGAATTTTTATTTTGTCTAAACAACATAAACTGTTAAGTACATGGATAAGATAACACTAGCCTAGCTTGGTTTATTCACTAAACATCATTGAAGTAGTAAACATACACAACTTTGAATTTGTGTATAAAGGACTACTGTTTTACTACATAGAATTCTGACCTGGTTTAACATGTTCATGACTGTATGCAAGTTGAAAAAACAACCACCACTCTAACATACCAGTGAAGTTGAATACAGATCATTTATTACTTAAACACTATTTTTGTGTTGTTTAAACATAGTTTAAAAGTTCATATATTACACTTAACCATACATATTGTAAACAATACTAAACATATTGTTAACTGATTACATAGAGATCAGATTTGACTTGACACTTGACTTGGAAAGATTTGATTTGACTTTACAAGACCAAACTAATAAGCAGAATTTGATATAAGGGAATGAACAAATATTTGATTTTATTATTGTCTGAAAAATAACATCTGAAAGATAACTTGATATAAGTCTTATATAAATAGTGAAGACAGGGAATTGTATCAGTCAAACAGATCAACAACTAGCAAATTCTGCATACTGGGTACGTTTAAATGATATTGTTAAGATTATGGATACAATATACTCTCTGTAATTGTATTTTTAATGGTTTCTTTATGGTGTCATTTAGAGAATAATTTATTGTTTCTTTATGCATCAGTTCTAAATGAACCTTACTATCTCATCAATAGAACCATTTAGGTTGAGATAATGGTTCTTTTGTGACTTTCCTTGGTACACTCAACATAAAATATGCAGCAAATGTGAATGGGGTACCCCAGAGAATTTTGTAGAATTGGATTAATATTCATAACACAATAATTTTGATTGTTACCACTTATTCACAGTTCTTAACAATTATTTTGTGAAACACCACAGCTTTTATATTTAAATGATGAAATGGTTCTCTGTTATTAAAAATACCCAAATATGGAAATGCCTTAATTTTACCAAGTATTCATGTCATCATAGTACACATATGTTTCGTGATAAGTGTAAAAATATATTTCTACTTCCTGGACATGCTGAGTAAAGGGACAAGGGTCAATGACAGTTATCATGTGGGATGATCAAGGTGAAAACAGAAATAGATGAACTATTTGTCATAGGAGTTCCATGAGTACAGTATTGTCATGGTCTTAGGGAATAGAGAGAGGGAATTCATAAGAGTTATGATTATGCTCCAAAAAGGACTGTCCCAGTTTTATCAAAATTTTGGAGAGCATTTTGTTAATTTTTATTAAAGTGAAAGGCCATCCTCTATAGTTAACCTGAATACAACTAGTCAATAAAAGAATATATATTTACCTATAATTAGACCTATTATATTTTTTCACTTGCATCAAAGAATATATACAAGTACCAGAAAATATTTCATTCAAAATATTTGAAATTCCATTTGATCATTTGATAGCATGAATATAATTTTCTCCATATTTGAGATTGGCAGCCTTAGTATTCCAAGAAGGTCAAAGATTAGTACTTAATGGTCTCTCAAGTTCTGTTGCCTTTTTGTGGACTGAATTGCCCACAGGAAGTGCCATAAGAACAAAATGAAAAATAGGTGACAAATAACATGAATAAGCATAGTAAGTAATATAGTAAATGTACACAAATCCTGTTTAAATAATATACAACCCTGAAGCCCTTGAAAACCTACAACCACAATTGCTATATATGGGCAATAATTGAGATGTCAGTTAGCAAAAAATCAAAGCTGTTTGTTTTGAGGAACCCGGTGTGATTCATTTCTCTACAAGAAATATTATCAGACTTGCTGAGTTAAAAATAGGAACGGGAAAGCTAGCTATGCTTTCTAGAATGAAACGAGGGAGTTTCTGATCTTCATGCTCATATGGTGTTGGAATTTGGTTTAATTAATTTGTCTGCCTTGCCGATTTATGTTAATTTTGGTATAAAAAGTTGTTGATTCCTACAATGTTCAGTGTACTGAAGTGGTAATTATACTCCTTGAGTTTCTTCAGCAGCCCTAAGCAAGAAATGTGCAGATTAAGCAAATAGATGATCGGTGAAACAGCTTCAGTTTCAGTAACTAAACATGCTATTTTAGATAATAAAATGCTATATTCATATTATATATTTTGGGGTCATGATGTTTTTAAACTGATAATATTTTCATTACTCTAGGTCAGAAAAGAGCATTTCAGCTGTGGTTAATGTATATTTTCTGGGTTTTGCTTTTTTTCACATCGGATTTCTGATTGCCTCAGAAAACATCTGAAATAGTGGGGTGTGCATTTTAAGCCTATCCACAAAACTAAATTGAAAATGCTAACAATCAATTTATCATCAATCAATCAATCAATCTTTCAGTCAAGCAACTATGAATTTTACTCTTTTTGATGCAGAGGAGTTTTTATTTCTGAGATGATTTTAACAATTTCTAGAATATGAATTTTTTCTTACATGATTGTTCTAAAATAGAGTATGAATTTTAATATGTTCTGACAAATAGGTCACACTGACCTTAGGCCTATATTCATCAAATAGGATTTTTGACCTTGATATAAAAGTTCATATATACGTTTATGAAAAATTCAAGATCAGGCATCATCAATCAGTCTCAATTTTAAGTTTTGTTTCCTATAATAGTTCAAAATTTGATTGACAGTTCTAATTTTGCACCTTCTATATTTAGAACATGAAATTGATGTCCTGTGTTAAAACTCCAAGGTCAAGCTGATCTGGGCACACTTTAAGACAATTTAAAAACAGAATATTGACTGAAATTGATAGATTCTATCTTCATTTTTCTCAGTTGAAACATATTTATAATGAAATTGACCTTTCAAATCATTTTTAGCTATCTAATATCAGTTTATTTGAGAGGTTTTATCAATCATTTTTTATTTGAAGGGATGTTTTTGGAGTATTTTATAGGGCTATTTTGTCAAAGAATTTCAATTTCAATATCACCATCTTCACAAGTTCGGGGTTTCATTTTAATTTTATTATGACAAATCTTGTCACAAAATGAGGATTCATTTGGCACTTTTTGGTCAATGATAGTAATTCTTCTAAATAATTCTTCATATTTCTTATTTTTACATCTTTGACATCCTAAGGTAATACCTTTTAGCTCATGTATGGAATATCATTCTTGAATGTTATCCTTAGAAGATTATAGTTTGATATGATATGATATACCCAGTCTCCCCTTATATCACTACCTAGGTTTGGCCGCTACTGTCCCTCTATTTCATTCTCTTGCATCTTGCTTTATATCACATCTCATTCCATACTCATTCTCCAGCCCCCCCCCCATGTCTTGCTTCTTTTTCATCACTTTCTAATGAAGAGCAAATCAGGAATGTCATCTTTCAGTCAGCTGGCTAAAGTCAATGAATTTTGATTTGAAAAGATTGCAGCAACTCTGATTTAGCATTATATTGAGGACTTTTAAACACTGGATAAAAGGAGATACTAACTTGTTTTTAATCAATTACATGTATCACATTTTATTACACATTTTCACCTATGGAGTCAGCTATTGTGTAATTTAACATGTAAATTAAGTTACATGAATGTATCACAAGATCTGTTAATTAACCATTGTTATGGCACTTAGTTAATTTATGAGTTAATGTTAAACTGATATTAATATGCCACATTTCCCAGGTTCATCATGACAAACACGGTTACCTCATTCCTTCTCAATCATGTTAAAGGCCCCATGTAAAGTTTAAACCACTTTGGCTTATATTGTAGTCTTACCCAATGTTATCAAAGTGTGATATGTGAAACTTTTTTTTTTAATTTCAAAAAGTGGTTTTTGATAGACTTTTTGTTCCAAAATTTGTGAATTTATTTAAAACCAACTTTTAGAGGTCACTCATATCTTCTAATTAGCCACAATTCATACCAATGCATAGCATTCATCCTCCCATGTTTTTTGCCGAAAAAATTAAGAAAATCGGTTGATAAACAAGCGAGAAATGAACTTATCAGTGCATGAAAATGGTTCTGAGAAAAATGCATTTCAAAATTTTAGTTCTCATAGAAACCAATGGTACAATGATATCTAAAACATAATTTACTCTTCCTTTTAACCTGGTTAGACAATCAACATTGGTTTTTATGAAAGTCTAGCATATTTAGAAAAGATTGACATCGAAAAACTTTTTTTTAATTTTTTTCAAAAAGTTTTTGTTACCTTAGTGACATCACTA